GAGTTGAAGAAAGCTCAAGAGCAGGATGTTGGCATAAAACGGGTAAGAGACTATCTCAAGAAAAAACGTAAACCCATGCGGTTTGAGAGGAGAGGAGAGCCACCAGAGGCAAGAGCCTTGGTACACGAATGGAGCAAGTTGTACTTCAATGAGGATCAGATCTTGTGCAGGAAGACTCGCCTGCCTGAAGGCCTGTTTAGATCACAGATTGTCATGCCAGAAGAATATCGCAAGTTCGTTCTGAAGGAGCTGCATAACAACATGGGACACTTGGGCATAGATCGTGTTATAGCACTGGTTAGAGATCGCTTTTTCTGGCCACACATGGCTAGTGACATCGAACATTACATTACTCAAGAGTGTACTTGCCTGAAAGACAAGAAGCCCATGAGACAAGCTAATGCTCCCTTGAAGCCTATTATAACAACTTCACCTTTTGAACTTATTTCCATTGACTTCCTTCATCTTGAAAAATCACATGGCGGTTATGAATATATACTTGTTGTAATGGACCATTATACACGTTATGCGCAAGCATATGCAACCACCAACAAGTCTGGAAGAACTGCTGCTGACAGACTGTTCAATGATTTCTTCCTGAAATTTGGGTTTCCTACCCGTTTGCATCACGATCAAGGGCGGGAGTTTGAGAATAAACTTTTCCATCAACTCCAGAAGAGTACAGGCATTGCCAGATCCCGAACCACTCCCTATCACCCAGAGGGAAACGGACAAGTAGAGAGATTTAACCGCACTCTACTCTCAATGTTGAGGACACTGTCCAGTGATCATAAGGCTGACTGGAAAAGTCATCTAAACAAAGTTGTCCACGCTTATAATTGCACAGTACATGACTCAACAGGCTACTCACCTTTTTACTTGCTCTTTGGGAGACACCCGCATCTGCCCATCGACTTGATGTTTAAGACTGGGAAAACTGTTTCTGAGGCTGACAAGCAAAATTACGTTAAGAGATGGAGGGAGTGCATGGCGGAAGCCTACAGAAATGTGTCAGAGAGAACACAACAGAAGTCTGAGAAAGCAAGGAGGGCACATGACCGTCGTGGAGTGAGTGCTGTTCTTGAGCCTGGTGACAGAGTTTTGGTGCGGAATTATGCAGAAAGGGGTGGTCCAGGTAAACTGCGGTCCTACTGGGAAGAGCGCATCTACCAAGTTGTTAAGAGGGTAGGTGACGACACCCCAGTATATGAGGTTAAGCCTCTCCAAGGACCAGGTAAGCTTCGAACACTTCATCGAAACATGTTGATGCCCTGCAATAGTCTTCCTCTACAGCCCCAAAATTTGAATCTGAGAAACAGAGAACAACCAAGGGCAAACAGACAGCGGATAGCTGACACTTCAAATGAAACCGATCAAATATCTGACAGTGACTCGGTCGACGAATATGAACCTGTATTTAGTACACATCCTTTGCACGAGATCAACAACACTGGGGGTGATCATGACGGCACAGTGGGTGATGAAACAGTTCCCCCAGAAATGGAGAATAATGGTTCCCTTGACAGAGTGGACAGTTACTCCACAGATGACAATCAACCAGTAGAGGCTGACGACAACCAGCATTTGGGCTCTGATAATGGAGATCAGTTAGTGACAGATGGAGACATTACAAAGTCAGAGACTGCTATTGATGAGTGCGTACCCAAAACTCCAATTAATGAGGTGCAGACCTCACCAGTCAGTTATCATTCCTCACATCGACAGCGTCGTACACCAGCACGATTCCAGTATGACTTGTTAGGTCAACCCTCTTACTCAGCTAATGTAGTGAAAGCATGGTCTTATTTCCCAGAAATGGTAACTATGATGGCTCCTGTGTATTGTTACCTCGTGCCAGTAACATACTACTAGTGTGAAAGAAGTATGATTGAACTCTTTGATGAAGAACTATTCACCGATCTCCTGTATGTTTCTAGTATTTACGAAGTGCCATGTGCCAAAGGGATTTTCATGTGATAAGGAATTTTACCTAGTTGATTCTGCCTTGTGATGTGACTGAGATAAAAGTACAATTCCAAGTATTGATTTATTAGTACCTAGTATTGTTGTGTATCTCATCTGACTGTTTGAAGAAGAGATGTGGAGGGATGAATCAACTAGAATAATTAGCTAGCAGTGTGTACAGCATTGAAATAAGCTACAATGTACTCTGGGTTTAGCCCAGGCAGAGCTGTGATTAATATGGACTGGCCATCCATGTTTCTACACTTATCTGATTTTCTGTACAGTGTGTATAGAGTGAAGACTTGATCTTCAAAGTAACTTTCCGAATAGCGTCAGAACATTATTAATGTTCCCTAGGAAGTGCTATATTGTGTCTTGTGGAAGACATTGAAAGGTTGTATATGTGGTTTCAGGAGTTATTTAAGAATCTTGTATTAGATTGAATGCATCTTGTTTGACTTTTAGTCACTGGTTGTTCATGATAGTTAAATGTCGAGTCGACATTTGTTTTCCCGGGGAGAGTGTAACATGTGGTAAATTGCTTTATTTTAATGTTGCATTTAAAAAGGGGGGCCCACAAAATCTAATAGTTCGTCGCTCAGTTACTGCAGCTTTGGCATTCTTTATCGTGTCAACCGTGGTCAAAGGGGAAGCAACTCTATGTAAGCACGTCCTTATATGGTATTTCAGCTAAGGGGTTCTCATCTTTGCCTTCATGAGACTCGCCATTTTTTGACAGTAAAGCACCGAGTGAACTTCAGCAATTATCTTTGCGTTATTCTTCCCCACAGGTTCGTGGCTGCATCTCACCTTGCTTCCCGGCAAGTGTAACACATGTCATCGATCCCAATTGCGTGGATCGATGCTCTTGATACCAATCACTGGATTGTCTGGTTCAGACTCGATTATTTACAGACCGCCGTCATATAGCTGGAATATTGCTGAGTGGGGCGTAAAACAACCAACCAACCAACCAACCATCTGACGACGTTGAGTAACACAATCGTCGCTAAAGTTTGTTCACCCTTGTATTCTCTTGCACGACCATCAGAGCTGTCAAGATGAAATCTGGACTCATCTGTGAACAGTATACTGTTCAAGTCTTGTCTTCTGTCTACATCAAGCTAGGCGTGCCTGGCTGTGAAGTGGAAGCAAAATTAGGCGTCTCTGGACGTCGGGGCAGGATGTTGTGCTCCCGGTTGCGTACGGTTTCGTCACTAATTGGTCTCAACCCAGGAAGTGTCCGAGCTGTTAATTTGGCAGTTTGGTATGGATTAATGCGCCGACCGAACATGGTTGGCTTGTTGACGTGACGTCACACGTGGACGACCGGCCCGTCCAGGGCAAGTCATAATTAAGTGTCTCGGATCCCTCCTGTGGACAACGTCTCAAAAGAGATGATATGGTGTTTCGGTGAACATTAAAGTGTCTGGTAACTTCTTTTTGCGCCATCCCTGTTTGCAGCATACCCACGGCGAACATGGGTTGATTATTAGCAAGCCGTGGCATAGCGTAAGCGTTATGTGCGACAAAACAAACGTGTTTTATGAGCATCTGTATGACAGCTAAACAATAATTGTGTGCTTTTCCCATTCACAAAAACACGGGAGTGTCAGTATTATGCTCCCAATAAACACGCAAACATCCAAATTGTTTGCTGCGTGTTAACATGCACGTGGAAATTGTGAATCATGGCCGAATTAAGGTCGAGGAAATGACTTCATGAATATGCATTAAATGATGCATTATTTAATTTCCGCATAAATTTATTTCTATTGGTTGGTTTGTTGTTTAACGCCGCACTCAGCACTATTCTACCTATATGACGGTGGTCTGTAAATAATCGAGTCTAGACCAGACAATCCATGCAGTGATTGATATCATGAGCATCGATCTACGCAACTGGGATAGGTGACATACATCAACCAAGTCAGCGAGCCTGACCACCCCATCCCGTTAGTCGCCATTTACGACAAGCATAGTCACCTTTCACGGCAAGCAATGGTTGCTGAAGACCTAATCTACCCCGGATATTAATTCACGGGTCTTATTTTTATTGAACTTTATATGAAGAACAGTTACATTATTCCGTTGATGTACATTCGAAACTTAAACAGGTCCAGAAAAGTTAAGGATGACCTGTCGATAAAGATATATAAGTATATGTCACGTTTAATTACTGATTATATTTTAGACTTGATATTTTGAAACCAGTGGATTTTGTAAGACACTTGCACTTAAGAATCCCACAGCACTGACTTCAAGCAGGGCATGCAACTGCTGAGTATTTTACATTCGCTTCAATATGCGGTTTGGTTTTGGAACTGAAACATATCATTTTCAGCAACTTAGGAATGAGATGTAGGATCAGAGAGAAACTTCAACCAAGAAAACGTGCAGCTAAAGAGTTGATGTTTGTTATTAGCTCAGTATCTGACAGAATAAGATAATTCGTTTTACAAATTAATTATCTTTAATAAAAACGTCAAAATGACAGCCAACACGCTTATTGTCGCTATCTACACAATTTTATCGAAAACAGAGGATTACATGGAAACCTGATGTAATATCCTCCGCCCAAAACCTTAGCCACGCCCACACGGACAACCCCGTGCCTTTACCAGTTCGGTCATTTTGTATTGTTCATTACTTCGACTTTCGCCGAAAAATGTTATTAACCTGCCAAAAGGTGTGGGTTGGGTTCACGAAAACACGCATGGACCTATAAAAACATGAACAAATAAACAATACTTCTGTATTATTGAAACAGAATATCGATATCTCCCGCCATCCTTGTTCAATTTGATTTTCGGTCTGCAGCTTTCGACCCGACATGAAATCTATTACCCAAATATCCTGCCATGAATAATCTCGAGTTTCCATCCCATTACGTGGTCCAAGTAAAGAAACAAATAAACACGTCGATCCATCAGGTCTCCTTTCTAGGACATTCGGAATAGTCAAATATTGCGCGAAACTGTCCGTGACCCCGCGTGACAAGTGACGTTATTGTGACGTCATTATATGAATGACGTCATTACCTTACAATCTGCTTTGTCTTGAGAATAATCGCTGTTTGTGTTGACCGACTGATCAAGAACAATCGACATGTCTTCGTCCCCAGCTACAAAAGGAAAGCGTGAGTATCTAGATCTGCCATACTACAAAATCATGCTTCAGAAAAAACAAACTTGAACAAACATGCATATGATTTTATAAAAAGCTGTCGTTTTGAGATTTGCTGAGCAGAGGTGGCATGTTGAAGATGATCGAGAACAAATCGCTTTGATCTGGGAATATAAGTCCCATTGTCATGATTGTAGGCCCTATAATTTTATCGTCACTGACCAAATCGACACCCTGTTCTAAGACACTATAGGGACATTCAACAACTCTTTCTTTCAACTGTAGATCTACCACATGACAACCATGTTCAAGTCAGACAATTATTAGAAATTAATGACGTATACGTACTTATCTCGTTTATTTTTCTTGTAACTTAACCACGGAACCAAATCAGTAAGCCTGCAGTTCTTCTCATTACACAGCTTGACTGACAGTTTATATCACAAATTTGTGTATTTTAAATGTTTTAAAAACATTCTTCACATAATGTAATAGAGCTTTAGATCTATACATACTGTCTATATATGGTGTATTTTTTTTCTCATATTCGGTTAGTGGTGTTGGTCGTGTAATTGGGGAATTTATATCGTAATGTGCGTCTACTAAAGGCCAGATAAAATAGAATTATTTCGACATGTAATACTTGTTGTGTTGTAATTCCTACTGTAGTACTAATATTATAACTATCGTGAGTTATAGTGACAACTCATGTATACTTGCTGAAAATATTATTTTGTGAAATACATCTGTCCATATCAGTGATTGATGTGTAAACCTTTACCTCCCATGTAGCTGCAAAGATCCCACGTCCAATGAACGCCTTCATGATCTTTGCAAGAGAGTATCGCCCAAAGGTGAAGAAGGAACATCCAGCAGAGGAGAATCATGTCATCAGCATAAGGTGAGTCGCAACCATCAGTATTAGTGAGTCAATGACATCTTTGTTCGTGAGTCAGTGTCATCAGTATCAGTAAGTCAATGTCATCAGTATCAGTGAGTCAGTGTCATCAGTATCAGTGAGTCAATGACATCTTTGTCAGTGAGTCATTGTCATCAGTATCAGTGGCTCAATGTCATCAGTGTCATTGAGTCAATGTCATCAGTATCTGGTGAGTGAATGTGAACCGTATCAGTTATGTTTTCAGCATTATGTGAAGTAACCTGACATTCATTGTATTCACTGCCTGCATGTTGTGTGTGGCAGACTGGGCAAGCTGTGGGCAGCCCTGGGTGATGTGGAGAAGGATCACTACCAGGACCTGTCTAGAGAGGCTGTCAACGAGCACAGGAGGAAGTACCCAGGTCAGACACAACTGGAATCATGCAAATATATTATATGTATATTAATTAACGAGTCTTCTAAATTTTCTGTTTGAAAGCTATAGTAGGGCTGGCTGAAAAGTTCTAAGCCTAACTGTGAAAGACCCGTACCAAGTTGATGGTTTTCATTTATTTCGCCACATAGTTCCCTTCCAGGTTTACACACTTTTGCCAGCAATGCTGCAAGGCCTGGATGGCGGTCAAGAAGAAATTTTCTTCAGCCACCCTAAAAAAGTCATTCAGAGCGGAAATGACGTCATCATTACTAGGAAAATGGCGACAGGCTAGTTCCTTTTTCATTTTGGGAAACAGGTGGAAGTCTGACGGGGCCAAATCTTGTGAATAAGGGGGATGGTCAATGCGTTTGAAGCCACAATCATGGATCGCTGACATGGCAACCACCGATTTGTGAACAAGAGCATTGTCTTGGTGGAACAGGACTCCTTTAGTGAGCATTCCTCGTCGCTTAGCTTTGATAGCTTCATGCAACTGTATCAGTAGGCCTTTTTCAAGATAGTCAATAAGCAGAATACCCTTGGAATCCCAAAAGACTGAAGCCATCACCTTTCCAGCAGAAGGAACCGACTTGGCTTTTTGGGGGGCTGGTGATTCCGGCTGCTTCCATTGTTTAGACTGAATTTTGGTTTCTGGTTGCAAGTGATGAATCCAGGTCTCATCCATGGTTACAAATCGGGCCAAAAAATCGTCAGGATCGGCATAAATTGTCACGGGACTTCAGGAATCTGACACGTTTGTGATCCGCTGTCAAGAGCTTTGGCACCCATCTTGCAGAAACTTTTGTTATTCCCGACTCGTTGGTGATAATGTGCTCAACCCTCTCATGAGAGATGCCCACAACACTGGCAATATGTCGAATGGTCAATAGTCGATCAGCCATCACCATGTCATGCACCCGGATAATGTTTTCCGGAATGGTTGCTGTTGAAGGCCTTCCTGGATGCGGGTCATCATCAAGGCTCTCTCTGTCACGCTTGAATTCCGCAGCCCACTTCTTTACAGTGGAAAAGGAATGGGCATCATCCTCTAAAGTGGAGACCATGTCAGCATGTATCTGTGTTGGAGTTAGCCCTTTCAGTTGCAGGTACTTGATGACTGCCCTATAGCCAGTTTTGTCCATTTCTGGTGATTCCAATGGGTGGGTTCACGAGATGGTCTGTTACAAAGACAATAACAACACTACAGTTGCAGTTCTTATGTCTATGATTCATTAAATCTTGTACTTGTTGGTGGCAAAAGTTTGTTTCAATCCGACTGAGATATCCCACTTAGGCTTAGAACTTTTCAGCCAGCCCTCATATCTGGCTGGCTGTCCTCAGATGCAGGGATAAACGTTAGACACAGTCACAAATTTGAATTGACTATAGTTGTTTTCTCAAAAAAACTCATTCATTGGCATAAACTAGAAGTCTAAAATGAGCTGCAGACTAGTTGGATATAAACAATGATATCTACTCCTGCATTGTACTCAATATGATAAAATAAAAGATCATAATAAAAGTAGAAAATTATCATTCGTAAGATCAATGTGTAAATATTAGCCAAATTTTTTTTAACACTGCTTCAGTGTAAAGAGCAAGGGGGTTTGGCAGTTAGCACACACTTTGGCAGTAATACTGTATTGTGTGATATCAGGTTCATCAACCTAATAATACAACCAGTTTCTTGCTTATACCACAATCATAGAGCAAGAAGGTAAAAAAAGACAGCAAATCAGGTTCAATAATTTTGAAAAGCAAATAGTAAAGGGACAAAACTCTTGATGTGTGAGAAAGACTGGAGTGATGCAGATCCTAGACACTTACCACTTTGGCGAAACTCACGAGCAAAGGTATGGTGCTAACTGGGATTTCAGCCCATGATGTCAGGTTTCTGACACGCCTATCAGTATGAGACATAACACTGCACTGCACAGCAAATTGCGACAACACTGAGGGACGAATACCATAAGTCGTTATTGTGTTTCAGATTACAGGTATGAGCCGAAGCCAAAGATCAAGAAGAAGCGCCGTTATGACCAGTATCTATTGATGGACAGACTGCGGACGGCAGCAGCAGATGCTGCACGGGAACAGAGGGAGGAAGAAGAGGCAGCCAGGAACATCAAGATCACAGCATCTGTTGCAACACCTTCACCTGCAGCACCAACCTACAGCTCTTCCCATTCCCCCTGGGGCACTCACCCTTCCCTTCCCTCACACCTCCCAGCTACAGGACTTCCCCAGAACTATTACTACCCACAAGCCCCCAACATCATCCCTGCCCACTCACAGCCGACCAAGTCTGCCTACCTCCCTAGGCACTTCAGCCATGGGGCTCCTGTACCGTATCACTACGCCGGCCCCTACAATCCAGTGATGTCCCGAGGGGATCTTGGACAGCCCCTAGACATGACAGTCTGCAGGAACATCAGACCACCATCTGAAGTCCCTGGCAAGGTGTACTGTGAGCTGACCACACCGGCCCAGAGGAGCACAGGGGATGTGTCCACTCACTGCATCCATGACTGGTCATCACGAGCCACAACGGGCTACCAGAGTCACTGGTCAGATGGTTTCAGATTGGATGCAACTGCTTGCCACCCCACCGAAGGTCCTGGCCGGACCATGTCCTACATGGGTCCTGCTATGTACAGTGAGAGATCAGTCCCCACCAGCCACACCTCAGCCACTGCCCCGGGAACCTCTACCAAGCTCGGTGAGTGGACAGACATGAGTAGGTGCTGAGTGTGTGTTTCGTTAAACACTGCTTTATCTTGTATTGTGGCCACTTAGATATTGCTAAGACTGTCTCATAACGATGTACTCCCTCAAAATTTCAAACAGAACAGTTTTATCTCCTTATTCATCTACAAGTATATCATTACAAAATTTGAAAAAATATTATCACACCATCGTGTCCTAGAAAATGAACCCATCTGAAAGCTTGTCATACAGCGTTACTTAGAAATTGGCACGAGTCATGTAGTCCTTGCCAACTGCCCAATAGTTAAGGTACCATAAGGACAAGCAGAAATTTGCCATTTTTATGGGTTTTAGTATATGTTAACATTATAAGGACTAGTAGACTAAAACAGCTAGTTTCTAGTCATATATTTCATAAATTCTTGTACTGTATCATTATATAGTGATGGATGTGGATGTCTTTTCGCTCACAAGCAATATCAGTCCACTTTATCATTATTTCAGATACCAGTAAACCAGACCTGGTGTGGATCCCCTGTGAGCCCGAGTTTGCTCGGAAGATGGGATGGCCTCTAGATCCCAGCATGCAACATCACACTACAAACCCCAGCACCCAGTCCTAGAGATGACACACACCCATGTGATGCCAATGCTAGGGTTTTCTTTGACACTCAAACTTGAGAAGACAAAGCCATCTCTCTGGTTTAAACAGAATGAAAGAAATGTAAAATATGCGTATCGTCCTTGTAAGTAGTTCTCAGATCTTCATTATTGATCTAATTTATGATGTGCAGCAAGAAATTGCCATTAAAATAAAACAAATTCAAGTGTGGATGTATGTTTTAGCTGATATGCTTGTAAAGACAGTTCATAGTTATATCAGCTGACCTGAAAAACAGATCCTTGACAGTTTCCTAGAATAACCTGCATTGGCATCAGTGAATAGTCACTGCCTTAATATGAGGTGTACTCAGAACCAGCAACTTCTCCAAGTCGCGTTGATGTAATCAAGTTGACCTATGAGAGTGCTATTACTCTCCTACAGAATGTTCTGTGGGAGGCTGATCACACAGACTCACCACAGTTTCCTCCCTTTAAAATACACTATTCCAAGTGAGACTTCTGTAGCCTTTTTCAAAGAATTCACATGTGTATGAAACACATGGACAAACTACGAGTAGTGAGTTGTGTTTAACGTTGCTTTTGACAGTATTCCAATTATATCAAGGCAAGTCAGCTATATAATGTGGGAGGAAAGCCCTATTTGATGCAGGTTCAAGACATTTCCCATTTTGGTGAAACCTATGTGTATGGTGAAACATAATCAGTGCAAACGGGGATTTGAACCCATGATCATAGGATTTAGGCATGCTCGAGGGACGCAACTCTGCACAGCATATTAGACGACTGACACACCCATGCCCCAAAATACCAATGAGGCATCATTAGCCAGTCAATTCCCCATATTCTAAATATAATTTTCTAAAGAAAATTCCAAATTCGTCTCAGGACTAATGAACTAGTGATGACACCTAGCCCTGACATGTGAACACAACTTACACTTACACTCAGTCTTCTCAGTTATAACTAAAGTACTCATGGAAATAAAAAAACAACTGTTTTGCTGGATTTAATAATCGACACAAAGCATTACGTAGATGTAAATACGAAATAACAAAACAACTGGAAAAGTACTAGTCTGGATTTGCTGGTTTTATCTCAGCGCTCAATACAAAATGTACTTTACAGGAGGTAATTTGTAGGCACTTTCAACATTCAAAAATAAAACTAAGTCCAAATTGACCTCGCAGTAACAGGCTATAGACATTATGCAAATTAGCCTGGAAAAAAAGTTATCAAAACAACAATAAAAATAACAGCTATGTTTATGTACATAATAATAATGACATGTAAGTTGTTGTTTGAGAAGGGATTATGTTACTTTTACGTTCTGATATTTTGACGATTATTCACTATCCCACAATGCCACTCACAAATCACTAACCACTGACAAATCACATGCACGTGGGTTTCAAGCACCTGTTTTCACCTGTCGTCAAGGTGTCATAGGTCATGGACATTCACCTTGATCTACTAACACCTGGTTATGCTCAGTTTCACAATAGTCTGTTTTGCTCATATTTTTACACACTTTTATGTGTAAAAAGACATAAAAGCCTTTGATACACTGTATTTGTGCCAAGGCCTAATTAGTACTAATTGAGTTGTTTGAATATTTATATATTTTGTATATTAACTGCATTTATTTAAAATCTGAGATCGAAAAAATGTTTTTTTTCATTTCCGTGAGTACTTTAGGAGTGCTTTGACTTTCCTCCAAATGCTTCGACAAAGACCTTTTCCCTGAAGGATGTCTTCAGTTACAGATAGTCCGCTACCCTGCAAGTGTGTAACACTACGAACTAACATCCCCTCTCTGCCAAATGAAGAACATTACAGTTTTTGTTCAACCCATCAAAATACTTCCCCATATTAGTTGATTACCACAGCCAGCAATATTCCATCTGTTTATGGTAGCCTGTAGATAATCCAATGTCAACCAAAGAGACCAGTGACTGTAAGCGTGGAAAATGATTCACAGGAGTACAGACAATCAGCCAAGTCAAAAAGCCATATCACCCATTCCCTCCCTTTATTGGCTCTTATGACAAGCATTTAGGAGTTTCGTATAACATACAGATGTTTTATTCAGTCTGTTGGTTCAGACTAGTGTTAGGTTCATGCATGGATCCTCTATAAATACTGTATTCCAGTGTTGTGGCACCAGGGCCCACTTGCACAAAGCGATCTTAGCGCTAAGATGATTTTAACTCCCATGCTTAAACATAGGCTTACAATAGTCGTAGCGCTAAGATAGCTTTGTGCAAGTGGGCCCTGGAGATGATCCTCACTGGCAGCCCACACAAAGACAGAACAAACTGTAACATTCTGATGATTTATTACAATGAAAATGGAAACATTAACAGGACCCAATCAAGTGGACGACTTACTGTTGAGGTGCATCAATGAAACATTAGACAATCATATTTTCCAAAATGAAATATCCTAATTACAACATGACTGTCAAAGTGTTATCGGATCTCTCAAATCTGGTACTTGTAACATAACCAGGGATGAGAATTTTCCTCCGATTACGTCATGTCAAGGGTCACTTCTGATATACACGCCATTACATTATGCATATAAAATCATATAGTTCCCCAGACTCTGACCAAGTTCCAGTGCTAATATTGTTTGTCTAAAATCCCATTCTCATCCCTGTATAACCACCACTGAACCTGGACCAACTGCTGTTTCCATTGCCAAACATTGCTATGTATAGTGCAGGGAAATATTTCTTCAAATACTTATTAAATGCATCTAGTGATCTACTGGCTACTGAACGCAGGCCAGGACACACAACCTGTAAGTGAACCAGACTCCCTGGTCACAGATGTCCATCTACACAGCATCTCATGCAGAGATCTCAAGACAATCCTCCAGGACGTCAAGTATGTCTTCTCCGATTGGAGACTGCTGGGCTTGTTGGCTACTTGTATATACACAATGATAAAATCAAGAGTCATTCCTTGCATGCTCCACTGGAGCTGAAGTTGAGCAAGGTGACACCACTGTTCCTGGTCACTGTCAGAGATGGCCAAGTTCCGGTCAGTCAGTAAACCAACAGTGTCCACACACATCAAAGCTCATCACATCTCTCACTGCCCCCTGTGTTAGTCACCTCCCTGGCAGAGAAAATAACAAGAGTTTGATTTTGAAATAACTTCCAAGAAGACTGCAGCTTCTTTGGGAAGAATCGTTTCATATAACATGTCCTGAATAGGCCCACCTTATTTTTTTCATAATTAAGTCATCATTTCACACAAGAAATATAAACCAGTTTCGATTTCAAAAGACAAGGTCATGAAGATAATTCATATCCAGTTAGTCTACTCATGATCTTTTCATAAGCCCCAGGACAATGGACAAATATATTTCTTCTTAATTGGTCTGTTGTCATTGAAACAGGTAATGACAAAAAAACATCCTACCTCTTTCCCTTTCCGTAGCTTCACCTCCAGCCTGGAACATCAACATCATCAACATTAGTACAGAAGATTATTTCACATGATGCATTCAACAAACGCTAATCTCAAGGCTGACTGACTCCTTGATTTTGCCAACACACTTACAATTATATAATGGGGATTCATGGGCAGAACATGTTACATGCTACATCCGTGTTACATCATACAGCACTGATACATGCTACATCTGTTACATCATACAGCACTGATACAGCTGTTTCATCACACCTGTGTCTGGCCTTGTTCTTGCTCTTCTTGTGTCGGACAGCGTTGGCCTTCAGCACCTTGCCGGAGTGGTTGGTCTGGGGAGGGATGTGGTTGCCATTGCTGCTGGCATTACTGGATTGGCTGTTGCCATTGGCAGCTGCGGCGGCTAAAGTGGAGTTGGGTGTGTTGGCGCTATTCTGATTGTTCTGGGAGTCAGGGCTGGGCGGCTCTCCTGTAATATCACAATATCAGTCCTATTGGTCATGTAATAAATACATAACAATGAATCAGTTCACACAGTGAATTATGTTACTACATTGTACAACTAGTCCTGATTTCTACTTTGAATTCATATTGATAATTGGTCTATCTAATTCTGATAACAATTATTCATATAACATTACATGATTGAGATAGCTGAGGTAGGCATAACCTCATTAGAATTATTAATAAGAGAAAAGATATGAACAAAGATACATCAATGTCAACTTCCTCATCATGATGCTAACAGGTTGATTACAACTCTGATGGACATGTTCATTGAAATTACAACACAAAAGTATATACAAGAAACCTATTCATTTTCATAATCATTGTGGTCATTACTGGACAGACCTAATTATGACAGTAATGGGCGGATTGCTTACGTTTCTCCTGCTGGTCGGCTACACCACTCACAGCCTGAAAAACAAGAAAGCTTATCAGGTTATGCAAAATATATAGTGAGTGAGTTGGGTTTAACGCCGCTTTTAACAGTATTCCAGTTGCATCACAGCGTGTCAGCTTAATGAGGGAGGAAAGCCCAAAGTGATGCAGGTCTCAGACGTTTACCACTTCGGTGAAACCCACGAGCACGGGTATGGTGCTGACAAACCTAGAAACATAATTGGGGCGAACCGGGATTCAAACCCACAATCATAGGTTTCTGGTGTGCCCAAGGGACGCAACTCTGCACAGCGAATCGCGGCGCCTTAGACAACTGGGCCACCCATGCCCCCTGATAAAATATATAACTATCACCCAGTTAATTATGAGTTACATACAAATACGCATGAACATTTTCAAAACAGAATAGCATAACTGTGTAATTACCCAATGTATATTTCAAACTTACGTATATGTATCTCTTTACAGATACGTATTTACTGATCAAGTGCAGACATCACACATACAAGAATTCTACCGTAGTCAATAATGTCTAACACTATGTCTCGCTTATTTTTAATAAGACATGAATAATGCTCTTGTTAGTTTATGCTGCGTGATGTTAGACTTTCGGGGCCGCAAACAAACAGATACAAACCAGAAATCACCCAAAACAGTATTTCAAGCAGTCTCGTTTTTAATAAAATGTCTACTAATAGGTGTAAAATTTCACAATAGACTGGACCCAAGGGAGTAAAAATATATTGTTTTTTGTTTGTTTGTTGTTTAATGCCAAACTCAGCGATATTTCATTTATCTGATGGCAGTCTATAACTAATTGAGTCTGGACCAGACAATCCAGTGATGGACATCATGAGCATAGAATATTGAACACCCAAAGTAAACTATCAATACCAAATGTGAATGATAACATTAGTAAATTCTCAATAGCTACAAATGTTATCTGCACCCTGTTTTCAATGATATAACATTCTACTGTACATACATATGACAGTTACAGGGGCATGGGTGGACCAGTCATCTAAGACAAAGTAGACACACAATTCATGGATAACAACTTCTTTAATACTGTAAAGGCAATGTTTCGGTATAGATCCTGATACCGTTGTCAAGCAGGACTGAATGCAGAACATTGTACAGAATATATATAGTAGGTGGATATGTTAACTTAGTAGCTTCCTGACAGTCACGTGGGCATGGGTGGACCAGTCATCTTAGGCGCCGCAATTCCCTGTACAGAGTTGCGTTCTTTGGTTATGCCAGAAACTTATGATTGTGGGTTCAAATTTTGGTTCACCCTGATTATGTTACTAGGATTGTCAGCACCATACCCATGCTTGTGGGTTCACCAAAGTGGAAAACATCTCAGAACGGCATCACTTCAGGCTGACAGCCGTGACAACTGGAATACTGTTCAAGGAGACACTAAACTAAACTCATTCCTGCCTGTTACACATGACCAACAACAATCCAACATGGAGTTCATCTGTCAGTTGTAGACAATGGCAAATGAGTAAGCTTCAAACACCATCAAATCTCTCTTCACTATACTAAGTGTATTTCACACAACAAAGACTCACTGCTGCAGAAGTAACGGACGACTTGGAAAACAACCGGTCTGCCTCCTTAAACTTGCGATTCCTCTTGTCTGCCTTACTGTTAGTATTGCGGCTGAAACACAAAACATGTAATCTCAGTACCTCCTCAAGGATGAGGTCTTACAAGGTAAAAGTGAAAAAAACCTAAGACTCATTAGAGGTCATTACGAAGAAACAAGTAACGTCCAACATGTCCAAAACAAAGGTAACTATCTGTGATTGATTTATGAAGGAAGTACTGAGACAGTGTTCCTACTTGGTGTTGGAGAGGTATCGGTCCCAGCCACGGATTATGTTGCCATACAACTGTGTGTCCTCCAGGTAACTCCCTTCAAATGCGTAGATCTGACGTTCTAGGTTTGCTAGTGTATCCTGCAACATTCAATATTCAACTTTCAGTACAACATACAACAATCAGCAACAGTGAAACAATAATGAAACATTCAGCATTGTGCAATAGCCATATATAGTGTCCCGTACTGTTCATGTCAGGTCTCAAAGATATCTCTTCTTTCTGGGAGCAATGTGGCTTTATTAGGACTCCATCAGACTATTAAATAAAATATCAGAGATTAATACTAAAAGGAGTGACTGAGTTAGGTTTAACATGTTTGTTGCAAGTTTTGGAAATTCAATACTTCCGTAAAACTTAATCAAAATATATTACAATACAATATCTTTGTCAAAAAACAGACATACACAGCCCTAGCTGCCACCTCTCCAGAATCTTTGAATCAGTGTCAAAAGAAAGAGATGGATACCACAGGCAGATGACAGAAAGCACTTTAATATGACTTATTTTTCTTCAACTATTTAGTGACACAACACTATAGCCATGATAGCCAATATGTATGCTTCTGATATCATTTTAGTAAAATCTAAATATTTTTTACATTTGTATACTTATCCTGCATTACTCCTTAATGCGTAGTAATGCAGGATAAGTAAAAAATTTAGTAAAATCTAAATATTTTTTACATTTGTATACTTATCCTGCATTACTACGCATTAAGGAGTAATGCAGGATAAGTAAAAAATAAGGTTACTTTAAAATATCGTAATCAGGCTTTCCTACCACATGAAGCCGACACACTGTGATGACAGTAATACTGTTCAAAGTAACATTTAACATGCAAGGGTCTGAAACTGAAAGAGTGAGTTGGGTTTTACGCCCTTTTAGCAATATTCCAGCAATATCACGGCGGGGGACACAAGAAATGGGCTTCACACATTGTACAATTGTCAGAAATCGAACCCGGGTCTTTTGGCATGACGAGCAAACGCTTGAACCACTAGGCTACCCAACCGCCCTGGTCTGAGGCTGAGAAACCTAGGACTATGCTCGGTGATCAACATGATCAAGGTGACAACACAACATTTGACAGTAAGTTTGTACAGTCCAGTTCTCACTGATCAGTCTTATCATTTTCTTGTCAAATGGTTCAATAGCTTCAAACACTTACCCAATATTATTGTTGTTTATCAATAACATAACATTAATCATGTTAATAATCTTTCAACCTTGCATACTACATGTACTAGTTACTGCGGCACCCTACTGACGTTTTGGTTTCAAAAAGGTAAACAATTAGAGCTGTGTACTGGTGTATTGCAAAAACAATTGTATTGCAATATATTGTGATACAGGTATCTGTATTGCGCTACGTATTGTGATAAACTGGGAGCTAAAGAGTTTGACAGTGATCAACACTGATTATATTTGCAGACCCTGTTTTCTACATACCAAAGTAAATATTTAAGGGTGCCCGTTACTACTGGTACCGGCTATATTGGTAAATTGAGGCTCATTCTTTCTTACGTGTCACAACATCCTTTTTTTAAGCTACACATATCAGGTGATTTCAAATACCAATTCTTCATCAAGAGTTTGATGGTATACACTTGCCAAATCCCTTCAAAATGTTTTCCGTAATTCCTAAATGCACGTTCGTGAAGAAAGACGTTAATTCTCAGTTACCTGCTTTATGTGCATTAGCATCATTTCGTACAATTCCTTCAACATCCGGGGCACAATCTTACCCAGTCCATTGAACAAGTTATATGTCTTTCATTTTTGAAAAGTCTACACATATAAATCAACACGTCATGAAATGGTTAACTTTCATTGAGAAAATATCCTAAAATGTGAAAAACTAATTCCATTTGTGTATTTTTCCTTTTTTTCACATTGGTTGTATGGCTCCATATGCTGTCATCAAAGCTATACAGAGAGCTTGCGACACAGTCACTTGATGCATAAATATATAAATTGTCATGCTCCTAACTCATGCAGTAAGATATCTATATAACTATGCAAAACATGTAAAGTGCACTGAAAGGCTTGCATAAGGCCAGTCTGCTCTGATAATGCTGATTCCAGAATAAGCATGTTTGTTTAAAAACGACAAATGTCTGGTCATGTGATATGCAAATTTGGAAAGATAATGGTTTCATGCAGAAATATTTCCACTCTGACATCTTAACTCATATTATGGTTAAAATGTCTAGCCTAATAATGATTATTTACTAATTTCGACTGGGACTTGCAAAACTATTATGAGAGTTATCATGTCCCATGGTCATTACTAGTTGTTAAGTCGTCAGTTACATGCCAAATGATTAACCATAAGTACATGGAAAGGCAACAGTACCATCAAATAACAGTTTTTACGCAAATTGTAGGCTTCAGAGTGAATATTGTTTTCTCTGTCAAAATCTGTCACTGAGTGATGTTGCCGTGTACACATTTCCATCAGAAAAAAACTGATCCGTGGACTTTGTATCGTGCACATGAATAGAAACATTAATCTAGTCTACAACACAAAAGTTCCTCACAGCAATTTCTGCCCGGCGTCGCACTAACTCGACTAATTCCGCACGGGTATCTATTGGGTGAGTATTCTTCATGGCGGCCATTTTTAGACTAGTTTGACAAGAGGAAGCTCCCGACAGCGATAATATTGCCCCATTCTCGAAACCCACTGCGGATAGCACGCGCTGAGGGGAGCTTGATTCCAAGAGCGCGCATTCGTCACCGTTTCCGGGTCGGACCGGATTGCGATTGCAGCTTTTCGAGGTAGCGGAATTGGCCGAGCATGGCTGAGTACCTCAAGTCTCACGGAAAGAAGCGAATGGGGACGAATCAGCCGATCGAGTAATTTTCAACAAAATCAACACCAGGAAGTTATTTTATTTATAGACACCTGGTTTTCAAGGGTATTTTAACGGAATAGACTTGGCTAATTTTTCGAGACAGGGCGAAAAAACTGGATCGATGATTCGCTTATATAGGATATGGACTCTTACAGACTACAACTGGGAAAACATTTTTTAACCTGTTGGGACTTTTATTAGAAGCCAAGTTTAAGATATAAAAAGACAAAACAAAAGCACAACAGAAACCAATTAAACACGCCATTTCAGGGATACATTTGTCGTATAGTTTCTGAAGTATATTTAACTCAAAGTAAAAATTAATCCGAGAGAATTCTGACAGATTTCCTGTATGTACTAGCTACATAGTTTTAATGACCCACTGTGCTGCTCCCGAGTGGAATACGAATATAATGTATATATTTATTTCTTCAGTTTTTGTTTCTTCCATCGAACATTATTACACCTTAGGACAATACTTGGTATTAATTTATGTTTCACTTTCTTAGAAGATGGAATTATAACAACGATTAGATGAACAAGTCTCGACTTGCAGTGGAATGTGGACATATAATTAAGCGAGATGTCATCGATCTGGGTTGGGGCGGCGACTTGGAGGAAAACCCGTGAAGATCCGGGGTAGAATAGGTTTTCACCAATCCATGCTTGCCGTAACAGGCGACTGTGTATGTCGTAAGAGGCGACTAACGGGGTCGGGTGGTCAGGCTCGCTGACTTCGTTGATGCATGTCATCGATCCCAATTGCGTGGATCGATGCTCATGATATCAATCACTGGATGGTCTGGTCCAGACTCGATTATTTACAGATCACTGTCATATAGCTGGAATATTGCTGAGTGCGGCGTTAAACAACAAACAAACTGGAGGAAATGCGGAATATGGTGGAAATATAGTGACAAACGAAGAATCAATAGAATCTGAAGACAATGATATCAGCGCTGTGTGGAAATAGTGAAAAAAACTACCAATGAATAAAACTTAAACTTGCTTGACCATCAGTAGCCGGTTTCGCCAGATAAATTCGGTGACGTTTGCTGAGGCGCAGTTTTAGCCAGCACCCGGATGTTGCCGTCATTACTAAAAAAAACACAAACAACATGTTTGATTTTCCTGTTTGCTTTAAGGAATTAACTACATTAGGACGAGTTCCATGATCGTAAACGTGACCGGTATCTGTGGCAAGATATAACGCATGTTCACATTATCAAATCAACCCGCCAACTGTTGATACTTTTGTAAGGGCAATGTCGACCTTGCAATTTGTAAACCAGTGTCTAATTATTTAAATTCTTACATCTATCATGAATTATCGCCAAGAGGCTTAAATTATACTGAAGTAAACGTGTCATCTTCCGGGTTTGGAGTGATATACATAGAAGACACATGTGCACGTCCGCACCGCCACTCCGCTATGCATGGTTGCTGCTGTCATCCGCAATGATAGACAGTATAGTGAGTGAGTTGGGTTTAACGCCGCTTTTAACAGTATTCCAGTTATATCGCGGCGTGTCAGCTTAATGTGGGAGGAAAGCCCGAAGTGATGTAGGTCTCAGACGTTTACCACTTCGGTGAAACCCACGAGCACGGGTATGGTGCTGACAAACCTAGAAACATAATCGGGGCGAACCAGGATTCGAACCCACAATCATAGGTTTCTGGCGTGCCCAAAGGACGCAACTCTGCACAGCGAATCGCGGCGCCTTAGACGACTGGGCCACCCGTGCCCCCTATAGACAGTATAAGTTACATAGGGTTTGCCCGGACCATGGACATGGATATTATTTCACATCATTCTTATTTCAACAACACCCATCTCAGTTCATAATAGAATTAATACATATTGGTAGTATGTCTCCGTAAAAGGCGACTAAGCTTGTCGTAAGAGGCGACTAACGGGATCGGGTGGTCGCTGACTTGGTTGATGCATGTCATCGATCCCAACTGCGTGGATCGCTGCTCATGATATTAATCACTGGTTTGTCTGGTCCAGACTGGATTATTTACAGACCGCTGTCATATAGCTGGAATATTCCTGAGTGTGGCGTTAAACAACAAACCAACCAACCGTTTGATGCAAGATCATAGGAGCGAACCATCATCTACTATACGACAGATGAAGAAGTAAGCATATACTCCGAAATTATGTTCCTCATAATAAAGAAGTTGACATCCATATATTCTCTTCCTTATGTGTATCACTTCTAAATGCCTTTCAAAGAACTGATAAAAACTTTGTTCCAATTGTTAAGAAGACAATTAATGGTATTCTAGATCAATGTGAAGACAAGATTCAAGTTCAAAATAAGAGATTATTAACAATTGGTGACCAATTACTTTGGGAAATGATACTTTTAAATATTATTCTCATCAACACGTAAAAATGAAAATATAGCTTTAGAATCCTGATAAGAACAATACTTAAAACGGCTTGAAAATAAGTTTGGAGAACAAAATACAGAGAGAGATGGGGGAATTAATGGAAAATTAAAGGCAGCTAAACAAGAAATGGAAAATATGCATAGAATAAGCTCTTTTATAAGATCAAAAGCTCAATGGATAGACCAAGGGGAAAAAAACCCTCAAAATTGTTTTCTACAACTAGATTGTAGAAGCTTTTTAAACAAATCCATAGCATTACTTGAAAAGGGAGATGGGACACAAACAAACAAACAAACAAACAAACAAGATGAACTAATTCAAGAACTAAGATATTGCTATCAAAGACTGCAAATTGCACCCAAATTGATTTAGAAAACCTGTGACCATGTGCCGAAACACTGCAAAGGTCCAAAACACAACTATGATACCCTTATAAAATATATCACCATCAAATTGATGCTCATGATGTCAATCACAGCTTTGTCTGGTTTAGACTCGATACTAGTATGTACAGACGGCCCTGGGATAGCCCGAATATTGTTGAGTGCTGCGTTAAAGACGCATGTTGTGGTGTGTGAAAATATATGTAATAACAGTACCCCAGAATAGTTGTAGGTCCGCTGAAACCATTTTATTTGGTCTTGTTGACTGACCATGAAAATGTCTGTCAAACGTTTTATGTTCAATTCATTGAAAATAAACACAGCCAGCCTATAAGTGTGAAGATGCTGATGATGTAAATGGGATGCTGTATTTGGACCACATTTTACTGCTAAAGAATGGAATTATCTTCACTTGCTCTCATCAAAATGTTACAAATAATGCCAAATTATGATTGTTTCTTTTTAGAATACAACAAATATTTACAGCAACAAAAAATATCTGAAAATGATAAAACGAAAGACTGATGATTCGTTTGATTTTTGGCACTCTTCTGTCGAAACAATACATCTTTTTTATCATTGTCATATAATAAGTTATGTTTGGAAATAATGTAAAAACTAAATATGTTATAAACGTCTTATACAATTAGCAATACATTATATTTCATAACTTTTTGTACTTCTTGGGGGTACCTTTAATACAGACAATATACTTAAGACAATCAGTGTAGCGCCAGCGCAGCATACCCAGGGGACCAGGCTGTACCATCAGTCCTCACCAACGGATAATGCTTCAAACCATATATGGTCGATATCTATCCTTAGTTCAAGAGAAGAGGGGGCACGGGTGGCCCAATCGCCGTGCAGAGTCAGCAATGTCAGCGAGCTTGACCACCCGATCCCGTTAGTTGCTGATCATCTTCACGGGTCGGTCTGTTACGAGACTTTTCATATATCGGAACAAAAGAAGTTAGGGATCATTTTTGTTTTTGGCGATATTCTTTGGTTGTAATGACCGAAAACACAATTTCATCAAATATCCTCACATATATTCATGGCCCAAGTTTATATTATTCAGCATATAGTTCTCATGGGGTAAATGCTGCATCAAAAACACGACACTAGTCACGTGGAATGATTTTACTTGCAGTGTAAAGACGACAAATGTGTATAGTGATATATTATATACGATACTCCACGCCAATCATTAAATATGAACTTATTCAAATAACTAACTAACTAAATAAATACACATTTACCAGGCATAATCATGAATACACATGAGGGGATGCATATCCGAGCTTCTGTCTGTATTATGAAATATATAACTGACAACGAAACTATAGACACATGATCAGTGATAATAACGCCCAGTGAAACGGCCTCGCAGACGTCGGAATCTGCTTTGAATATTGTTCCAGGTCCGGCGCATGCGCTCCATTATACGTTCCCGTCTGGTGCGCTGGCTCGTGTACTTTGAGGTGAAGGTCGGCGGAAGCTCATCCACGACGGAAACGCACACGGAGTCGCCGATGTCACTGATGTTGACCGCAAGTCCATCTTCCTGCTGAGGAGCAAAAGAGAAACTTAGAGGCTAGTCGTTATGGTATCAGCTAGGAGAGCATGATGACATTCAAAGTCAGCTATGTTCTATATATAGCTGCCCAAACCTACCATACCATTATAAACGAGTCTCTCGTATATAGTAACCCTGATAGAACCCACAAAATTTTTTCTTTTTAATGTGTACCGCATTTCCTCTATTACACGCTGAATCTTTAATACTCGCCGGCCTTTCAGGCGCCGGATCTGTATTCCTATTTTCTGCTGTGATATGTTGTGATTAATGTTGACCGTTTCCTGCAAATGTACCATTTGTGTGACTGTTTAATTAGGGAGTGTGTTGCCACCGTGTCAGCTTTAAATAGAATACACGCTGGCCTCAAATAGAAGCCTGGTCAACGTCTTGCCCGAAATACATGTATATTGGAGTCCGGTCGTCTGATGGAGGGCTCATTTGCTCTGGAACAGCCGCGAAAGGGATCATAGTCGCAATATTTAATCGTAACCTTACGGCGTATTTCGCACCTCAGCCTGTTAATCCTAATTTATCTGGGCAAGAGTCGATTACGTCCATGCAGGCACCGCGATACAGCGTGAATATTTCTGACAGCGGCGTAAAACAACACTCAAGCATACACAAAACAGGGGTTCGGGTTGTAATTGTTGCCGAACTCGGCAATAATTTAGCTATATGACTGACTTGAGGATCAACAACATGGCCAGACAGACCTAACCTCCTGAAGTCGGACATGTAGCTGGAATATTGCTTGGTACGGCAACAAATACAACATGACCAATCGTGTGGATGGGTAAGTGTTGTTCGATTGAAAGGGGAACTAGGAGAGGGCCAGTTTGCAGACCCATATAACTTGTATCGGGTTATACCACAGTTCCAGTTATTGCTGAGTGCGGCGTTAAACCATAAGCAAAGACCACAGTGCCCTACATTGTTTGTGTGCTAATTTGTATTTCATAACGTGCATGTAGATACATCGCAAACGATTACCCTAATTATACAGAGTTTAAATGCATGGGGAATATTCATAATGGTCATCAGAAGCCACAATGTCCACCGTCAAACTTTAAACAGACATGGACACAGGACCTCACCTGGCCGCTGAGTTTGTTGAGGATCACCATGATACGCCGTCGGGTGTAGTGGTCTTTGGCCACTCTGCGCATGATCTCTGCTCCCATCACACTTCCGGTCAGGTCCCCGCACTCACTAGTGAGAAACACCTTGAGTTTTTGTCTCAGACGGCGCACCTTGGGTAGTTGGGGCTGAAGGGGCGTGCCCCTCTCTAGGTGGTAAAACGTGTGGTTATAGGTGTATGGTGGTTGGTCCACACAAAGCTCGTTCTCCAAAGACATTTCAGAATCGGACAAGATAATTCTGCCCAGGTCTTTGGACAAGCGTTCTTCCTCCCGGGGCTCGAAGATTCCTTCAGGGAATGGTCTTGCCGGGGTCACCTCCCCCCCACCTGCTGCTTCTCCGCGAACATGGTCTTCTGCAACCTGAACATCGGCTTGGTTATCTTGCGGCTGTTCGCGATCATGGACCTCGCCTGCAATGTCAGCGACTACGCCTACAATGTCAGCCAATACGTCGTCAACGACAGCTCTTATATCCTCATGGTCCCGCGGACGGTCACGTGATGGTGACGCCGACCTGGAGCGAGGCTGGACGTCTTCTGGGAACTCTTCAAGGTCAACCACCTCGATGTCGGAATGACGACCCCCCGGGTTGACGCGTTCATTATCTGAAGGCAGATCAGCCTGACTGCTCTCTTCACTGTCTGACTGCATTTCAGGCTCGTCTAACTCAACAACATCGGGAGCAAACTCAGGTTGGTCTTCGGGCGGTTCGAAGTCGAGGAGAAAAAGATGTTGGGCAACAACTTCGATGTCTGGAAGATAGTCCGGTGCATAGGCGACGGGTCCAAGGTCGTACGGATAGTTGGCGTTGTCGTTCAAGTTTCCTTCGTTATCGTTTGCGACCAAGGCTTGCGGGAAGCGAAGATCCGAGGGCGCCATGTTGACGTGCGCCACCTGTTGAGGATCTACAATGCCGCCATTTTGCATCACGTGGTACAGCTGGATGTTGCGGTGGCGGCGGTGGTTGTTCCGAGACTGGGGTACACCGTTGAGGGCCATCTGTAAACAGAGTTGAGTGTTATCCAAATGGGTACATGGTGTTATCCCTAAATGGGTATATGGTGTTATGCCTAAATGAATACATGGTGTAATCCAAATGGGTACAAGGTGCTCGCCAATGAGTACATGGTGTTATCCAAATGGGTACAATGTGCTCGCCAATGAGTACCTGGTGTTATCCAAATGGGTACAAGGTGCTAGCCAATGAGTACATGGTGTTATCCAAATGGGTATTATGTGCTAGCCAATGAGTACATGGTGTTATCCAAATGGGTATAATGTGCTAGCCAATGAGTACATGGTGTTATCCAAATGGGTATAATGTGCTCGCCAATGAGTACACGGAGTTATCCAAATGGGTATAATGTGCAAGCCAATGAGTACATGGTGTTATCCAAATGGGTACACGGTATTATCCAAATGGGGAAACGGTGTTATCCGCATAAAGTCTATGATTCGTGTACTCAGTCGTAATGCTGAAAGAATGTTACTTAGCCACGTAAGGTCATGCTCACGCACTCACTTTTCACGATCATTCAGGATAGGAGTTACAGGTGCCGCTATTCATATCGCAGAGTTGCGTGCCTTAGTTGTGACAAAGTACGAAATATGGGGATCCTGTCAACTACGATCCTTGGTTTGTCAGCATCAGGCCCGTGCTCGTGGTGTCACCAAAGTGGTTAACATAAATGGGCCTTTCTCCCACTTTAAGCTTCAACGCCATGAGATAACCCAGATACTATTCGGGGCGGCTTTAATAACACCCACTCACTGTCTTTTAACATGAAGTACAGTCTATACAAAAGGGCCTAAGTACCTGCACCGCGCTTCCCGGTTGATTTCGGAGAGTGCCGACTCGAACTTCCAGCCGCATCACCATACGCCGAGGGAAGGCAAAGACTGCCAGGGGCCCAAACTGGAAGTCACCATGTTGACTGTAACCACTGTCCAGTGGGCGATCTGTAATGTCCTTCTTGTTGGTGAGGTTGCCCTTCCTGTGTTTGAGGCTGCTGAGAGATTTGAGGATAGACAGGGTCGGCTCCACACACTGCAACCAAACCGTTGCAGGCAGCCCGTCAATCACCGGTTCATCTTGGAACTCTTCACACGCCAACTCAGCGAATGCTTGTTCGCCTAACAGTTTGTCCCAACGTGACACGGAGTAAGAACTGTACACAATCCTCTTATCGAGGTGTCTCAGTTCAGAATTCTCGAACCCCAGGCAGACATTGAGCACAGGGATTGATGCGCCCCGCGGAGCCACCGTTGCCAAACCCGCTAGCCACAGAACCTGCTCCCAGTCGTCTAAAGGCGTGTCACATCTCTTGTTGAGACATCGTAGTTCTTGGAGTTCAATGAGAAGCTGCTGCTCTGGGTCAAGGAAGAGTCTCTCTTCGCTCCTCGAGTGCCGGACGCAGAAGGCGTTCATCAGTCGCCCCACCCACTTCCGGTGCCGACGATGCAGTCGGGGCATTGTGGGAAGTTCTTCCGGTTCTCTGACGAGGCAGAATGTGAGAGGCACCTCCTCTCAGCTGAGCGTTTGTGGTCAGTCTGTAAGTGTAATATAAAGCCTGAATTAAACACACGAAGATCTTAAGGGAATAGAACCACCAGATCTTATGTCGGATCATAGATGAAATTTGTAAAGGAGTTAACATGTGCTTGCATGTGGCAATTGTCCGCCTATATTGATTACTCAATGGTTTGAGAGTAGTTTGTGTGTTTGTTTGTTGTTTAACGCCGCACTCAGCGGTTCGTAGGGTATAAAATATGGCTTTCAAATATTGCACCCATTTTGATTTCTATTGTTGTCTTTTTCACTTTAATGACACTAACTATTATGTTGTAAAGGTTGAATCAAGGTCTAAATTAATAATATTGCAAACACTAGAACGTGCATGTTAAATGCCACTACTAACTACATCTATGCAAATTTAAATACATTTTGAATAACAAATGGTTGATTAATACCTACTAATTGGTTTCTAAATATGACCACCATGGCCTTATTGAAACAAAATTGGACCAGAATTCTGTGTAGCTAGGATCGTGTTTACACAGTTTTAGCTGCACGGACCTTAATAGTTTCGGAGGGATGTCGAAAATGCAGTAAGACTGCATGAAAGTCAGAGGTTGTAACTGGGTACAAAATATGTAAAAAAAACCCGTACAATATGTTATTCCGAAAATCACATACTTGATGCATATCAAATTATGGCCAAAATGACATTTTCAATAATGTTAAAAGTCGGATCCGAATTCTGTGAGCACATTTCAGAGACAGCATGCTCGGATCATTCATACAAGGTTCCAGCTCCATAGTTGTAGTTTCAGAGCGGGTTTCGGAAAGGCAAAAAGTCAACCACGGACGAATGGACGGACAACGCGCTGCGCCATAAGCTCAACTAACTTTCAGTCAATACTTCTCTGATTTTAATAAGGTTTTAATGTCACCTGATCGTAATTCGTCGTCACAGGCGTTGGTATCGTTGATCTATGGTAATGACATGCAGCCACCGTTATATAACCTTAGGCTGTGTATTGGTAGGTGCAGCCACCTCCATGGAGCCACGACACCAACATGTGATGTAGTACGCCTGTTCTTGATCGGCGTGTCACTCAGTCAACCCAAGTATGCTATCATACAAGCATTTACTTCATACGTTTAGTAGAGTGAGTGAGTATGGTTTTACGCCGCGTTTAGCAATATTCCAGCAATATCACGGCGGGGGACACCAGAAATGGGCTTCACACATTGTACCCATGTCGGGAATCGAACCCGGGTCTTCGGCGTGACGAACGAACGCTTTAACCACTAGGCTACCCGACCGCCCCACGTTTATTAGAAGTCTGACATGAATGAGTGAGTGAATGATGTTGTTTAAGGCTCACTCCCTCCTGACTTATGACGGTGGTCTGTACATAATCGAGTCTGGACCAGACAATCCAGTGATTGACATCATGAGCATTGATCCACGCAATTAGGATACGATGACATGCATAAAAAAAAGTTTGTGAGTCTGACCACCCAATCCCATAAGTCGCCTCTTACGACAAGCATAGTCGCCTTTTACGGCAAGAATTGGATGCTGAAGACCAATTCTAACCAGTCTTCACGGGTCAGAAGTCTGAAGTAGAATTTGTAGCATTTGTACAAGTATAAATATTTCTCAAAGTAATGAAGTTTCGGGAATGGGTCCTTCACCCCCAAGGAACACCCTCGATTATCCAGTGTAGTATAACTCTGTTCTACTGTGATAATTAACATGAAGATTAATGTTACATATATTCGAAAAGAAATCTGCCTGTATAATAAATAACATTTTGTTGAGATGGTATAACATTTGTCTCCCTTTAGCTTTTTTTTCATTCATTGTACTCTTGGCCATGTGGCCTTTGATATCCAATAAACCTTTTCCTTCTGTCAGTCATAAGGGTGGTAGGGCAGCATACAGTGGTTTTAGAATAGCGGTCGCTCGTCACGCCGAAGGCCCAGGTTCAATTCTCCACATGGGTACAATGTGTGAAGCCAATTTCTGGTGTGCCCGGTTGAAGTATAGGTGGAATATTGCAAAAAGCGGCGTAGAACCATATTCACTCAATCCGAAAGTTATACATTATACTTATCCAGTTACAGTAGTGTGTACTTTCGTTTCCAGCATGAGAAAATATAATACATATGGTCAATATATCGGTGATACGTGTCAGGACGTGTGTGTAAAAGTTTATCTGGTTCTTTAAGAAAACATATGATCAAATAAATAAATAAAAAAATCACGAAAATCAAGAAAACTTTGACCCCCAATTCTACCTGACGTGTTCTTAGATTTCTTTGGGGTGTATTATAAAGCAAGTAATGTACAATGTAATGAATATTTGTTCTCCAACAACCTCCTCCTTGCGCAATAAGTCACGCATCTATGTCTACATCGTCCTTACCTGTGACTAAATGATTAACCTCATCCTTCGACTGTCCACGCCGGCAAACCCGTGTCAAATAGATTGTGGTGACGTCATCAATTACGTGACGTCACAGAAAGACGCGCTGTTTCGACCAATGATATTATTTCAGTGGGAAAATTGTCTTTTTTGACTTTCAAAAAATGGTAAATTAAAAAAACAAATAATTAGCGAATATGGGGTATAAATGAGGTATAAACCATGAACATGAAGAAAGAAAGCCCGGGCAGTGTGCCTACGAGATGGGCATCAGACACACCACGTGAAGATCCGGGGTAGAATAGGTCTTCAGTAACACATGCTTGCCGTAAAAGGCGACTGTGAGATGCGACTAAGCTGACTTGGTTGATGCATGTCATCGTATCCCAATTGCGTGGATCGATGCTAATGACGTCAATCACTGGATTGTCTAGTTCAGACTCGATTATTTACAGACCGCCGTCATATAGCTTGAATATTGCTGAGTGCGGGGTAAACAACAAACAAACAAACAAATCAAACACCACATAAAATGCTGTGCACAATAGTTGCTCACTGTATTATTAAAAATATCAGTTCTCCATTCACACTACTCTTTTTCTATTACGAGAATCGATATTTCATAAGCCTCCTGTGACGCCATCCCATTGTCCTCCAGCTGGTGCATTGTATTCCGGAGACAGGTTCAGTTTTCAGTACCGTATTTCCTCTATTTGACACCGGCTCTCTAATATGACCGTTTCCTGCAAACGTACTAATTGTATGGTTGTGAGAATGACGGGACCTCTAATAGGCGAAGTCAAAGACTTAAATAGACGCTAGGGCATCTAATAGAGGAAATACGGTCCATAGAAATTCATCATCCTAAAATATATTCAAATTCAAAGTTGGATAAAACACTTTTCCTGGTGGTAGTATGATATTTAAAACACTTGAATGCAATTAAAACCTTGCTTGATGGCTTAAATATCAAATAAAAACCAGATGGGCTGTGGGGAAGCCGCGTTGGGTCTTCCGGGAAGACCTGGGTTCAATTCCCCACATGGGTACAATGTATGGACCCCATTTATGTTGGTTGGTTGGTTGGTTGTTTAACGCCGCACTCAGCAATATTCCAGCTATATGATGGCGGTCTGTAAATAATCGAGTCTGGACCGGCAATCCAGTGATTCATATCATGAGCATCGATCCCCGCAATTGGGATCGATGACATGCATCAACCAAGTCAGTGAGACTGACCACCCGATAGTAGCCCCTTAGCCATTTATGTTGTCCCCTTTGTTATATTGCTGGAATATTGCTAAAGTCACGTAAAACAATACTCACTCATAAAATAATGTCAGATAAATTGCTTAATCCTTCACACTGATCTACCAATTACTGTCTGTATAAACATTTTGTTAAGCTGGTTGTCTACACAAACAGACCAGGTACGTTACTACGCACAGATTCTTTCACTCCTTTAGGAATGGCACCAGATTAACCAAACTGTGGTGAGGGAGTTTGTCTGAAGCATTTAGCTTCATTTCAGCAATTTCTCAATACGCATTATGATATATCTCCGAGAACCTCCCTACCAAAGATACATACATCTACCCCAGTTTCTAAACCAGTCTGTTCCCACAAAAGAGCATAGCCAAGGAGACAACTTGTACTAAAAACTGGGCTTTGCCACAGGTCCGAATTTTAGACACCCTATACATGGTCAGTTGTATTTGAAATAATTTCTCTGTCTGATTGTTTTTTGACACTGTGTGCTGTATGTATCTGTGTAGAGTGATCTGTAACATCTGTATGCAGTCATGCATATGCCATCCCATACAATTTTCTCGATTTTTTTTTTTTATTAGTTTTTTGATAGACAGGACTGTACAGGAATGTTCGTGTGTAAACAAAACAAATGTATGTTTCCTGTAACTGGAGAGGCTTATTAGATGTCTCTGACACAACGACCTTGACCTCATGAAAATTTATGTTGGGACAGTTTGCCAATGTGTGTATATATTTGTGTGTGATAGATAGTGCTAGCCCACTGACATCCCATAGCCAGTTTAACATGAATGCTCCACTCAGACACAACATAGTTATCCGGAGTCAACCAACCCTTGTTTTATCCCCTAAGGCTGGGCGCCAGAAATGGTAACAACTAAAGCCATCTTAAGGTGTTTTTCGTATGACAAAGCAAACGGAACCACCGACCTTGTGAGAATACAACATGAGCCATGAATGCTGCTGATGATGTTTAATGATGCTTATATATACAATGTACAAGGTAAAGATATTCAACATAATGTCACTATGTATTCTGTTTCCGAGCCAACAGGTCCGTGATGTATGGGTTTTTCTTCGCCTCCAACACCGCCTTCAGTTGCTCGACCTCCTTTACAATATCTGCGTCACTTAGGGTTGACACGGGAATGGCCTTGACCTTGCTGATGAAGTCCTGTATCAACTGTTCTCCATCCTGAAAGCGGTAACACAGAAGTCAGTGTTGCCACACAGTATTGGAGTCATATTAAGATTGTAGTGGAAACAGTGTTTGCATGAATTAATGTTAATTTAATCCTATTGAGAAATATGATAAAATTACTGAGGTAAAGGTTGTGCTGGATTTACGAATTGCTAATGATAAAAGGGACACAACTCAATTCCAGCCACCACTAGTTCCTGGATTACAAGTTTAAAATAAAGACAATCGACATTTTTATCTGTATTGCAATGCGTATGTTGAAATTATGTCGTCATGGCAACATTGCACCAAACTGTTGAGAGGAATGATGTAGTGATATGTTGTTGAAGGGAGATAAATACAGGGGAGACTACCTTGTCAGTACTGGAATGTGATGACATGAAGCTAGCATTGTCTTGGTAACAAAGAAGGATGATGTGTAACGATGTATCGTTATTGTCGCTAACTAGTCTGGTCATATCTATGTATACCCAGAGACTGACTATCTCTTTCATTTGGGGGGCGGTCGGGTAGCCTAGTGGTTAAAGCGTTCGCTTGCCACGCCGAAGGCCCGGGTTCGATTCCCGACATGGGTACAATGTGTGAAGCCCATTTCTGGTGTCCCCCGCCGTGATATTGCTAAAAGCGGCGTAAAACCATATTCACTCACTCACTCTTCCATTTGGAGACCATTATTACCTGGCTCTTGTTTGTTTTGTTTGTTTTGTTTGTTTAATGCCTCACTCAGCAATATTCCAGCCTTATGATGGCGGTCTGTAAATAATCAAGTCTGGACCAGACAATCCAGTGATTGACATCATGAGCATTGATGCATCGACATGCATTAGACTAGTCAGCGAGCCTGACCAACCGATCCCGTTAGTCGCCTTTTACGACAAGCATAGTCGCCTTCTATGGCAATCATGGGTTGCTGAAGACCTATTCTACCCCGGATCTACACCAATCTTTTTCCAGGACTGGGAATGTATAACATCTGCACGGCATTCTATCCTCATGCTCAATCTCATTAAGATCAGAGTTTGGTGCTTGCTACCTCTACACCAAGATCTAAGGACATCTGATTACAGGTCACAACAGAATGACCACCTTGTCAACTTGTCAACAATGAAATGATTAACAGGAAGTCAACATTAGCGTTTCAGAAGCAGCTTTCTCAAGCTTCAGGCACTTGTTTCAAAATGGAGATTTCCCTCCCAGACTACACTTTGAAAAGTGTTTTGACAAAATTTTCAACTCAAACTTTGGAAACTAAACGAAAGACAATTCTGGAATGTCTTTTGTTTGTTTGTTTGTTTGTTTGTTTGTTTGTTGTTAAATGCCAGAATGTCTAACAGTTGGATCAGATTGTACGGCAGTACTTCCAAGGGGGTATTGAAAATCTCTACTGTTTCAAATTTTGGAAAACTTTGTTTATGTTAACCTTATCGAAGTTGCATGATGAGGAAATACATTCAAATTTTCACGATCCCAAAACGACGCTCTGATTGGTGGGATGAAAGGTTGTTCTCTGACAAGACCCGAAATAGGATATCCCCAGATCTTTGTGTAGACGTAGCAAGCACTAAGAACAGATTAATGAGATTGTCTTATTCTTATCAGAAAAAATACCACATGCATGTTTGCAAGTTAATAGAGAGCTACAACCCATTTTCAACATACATCTCTGTATTCTGTAACACCCTTTTCTAGTCATGCCATGTATGTTCTGTAACGAACTGACCTGCTTGGCACACTTGCGTTTCTTGACGGCCGGTTCTGAGTCTCCATCGAGGTCGGTATCGGTGAGGCTGATAGACTGGTAGTCTTCAAGTTCACTGGCCTTGACCTTGGCAAACTGTCCCAACAGAAATGTTCATTAGGTCAAGGTCGTTGTGTCAGAGACATCTACATAAGCCTCTCCAGTTACAGGAGACATACATTTGTTTTGTTTACACACAAACATTCCTGTACAGTCCTGTCTATCAAGGAACTAAAAAAAATGAATACGAAATTCGAGAAAATTGTATGGGATGGCATACACTGACATGACTGCATACAGATGTTACAGATCACCCTACACAGATACATACAGCACACAGTGTCAAAAAACAATCAGACAGAGAAATTATTTCAAATATAATTGACCACGTGACACTTCACCAAGGCCTTCCAATGGATGCTTCATAATTTCCTAATAATCAGTTGACCATTCTTTACTAGTATGGCTACTACAAGATATCGTTAATGGCTCATGAAGTTTGAGTGAGTGAGTGAGTGAGTGAGTGAGTGAGTGAGTGAGTGAGTGAGTGAGTGAGTGAGTGAGTGAGTTAGGTTTAATGCCTCTTTTAACAGTATTCCAGTTATATCACGGCGTGTCAGGTTAATGTGGGAGGAAAGCCCGAAGTGATGCAGGTCTCAGATGTTTAACACTTCAATGAAATCCACAAGCACGGGTATGGTGCTGACAAACCTAGAAACATAATCGGTGCGAACCAGGATTCGAACCCACAATCATAAGTTTCTGGCGTGCCCAAGGGACGCAACTCTGCACAGCGAATCCCAGCGCCTTAGACGACTGGGCCACTCGTGCCCCCTCGTGAAGTTTGATGTTGTTCTCAGCTCACACGGGATGCAG